TTTTTGTATTTAGTACAGAGTCTACAGAGTCTACTATGAGATTGGACTCGTAGTGATCCTCCTGTTTTCAGACTCCCAAGCACTGGGATTACAGGCGTGTGCCACCATGCCCAGTCTCAATTGCCGTCTCAGCATGTGGGGGTGGGGTTCCCTGCACAGCCACTGTGCTCTGCCTAAGCAGGCCCTTTAGTCCCCTGAGCCATCTGGTCAACCCTCTAGACAACTTTTTAAATTTAAGTCTTTGTGATCAGCGCTGATGATCATGTTGTCGTTGTTACTGACGACCTCAGGACTGCTAATATGCAAATGTGTGCAATGTTCTTTTGACAGGTGAGGACGAAAAATACAAGCCCATTGGACAGCTACACATTTTCAATGTGATGTGCTCCTGGGGCTCACTGGGACTATTATTTTAAAAATGTGTTTGCAGCCTGCCACTGTGCTACCAAAAATAAGCTAGTCTGAAGGAACCAAGTGTGAAAGGAAATTCCTGGAAACTTATTTGAGGCCATTTGTGACAAAGGATTCTTGAATTCCTTTTTATTATCTTTGTTTTCTACTTTCTGACCAATTTGTCAAGATTGCATTTTTAAAAACTCAAGTGTACTTCTTACAGCTAAATAGTGTAACTGACAATTTAGCTTAAGCTGATAGTTTATTTCGATCATTTTAAAACATCTGTTAACGGGAGTCAGTGCCACCGACTCGCCTGTGCACAATGCTATTTTAGGAGGCCAAAGAAGGGGCTGGAATAAAAAAAAAAGTCATTGGCGCTTGAGCTCCAAGTCTGGAGTCGGGGCGCTCCAAGTTCTTTGTTAACGGCCTGGTGACCTTGAACAAGTTACTTTGCCTATCAAATCCTGTCTCTTCAGTTGCGAAACACAGCCAGATAGAAGCCGGAATGACGGCTCTGAGAGCCAGCGGGTTGTGTCAGAGACATTTGAAGTGTTGCATCAGTGAAAATCGCCACTGATTTGCATAGACACATTGCAGTGCATGCATCCGGTGATTGAGGATTTCGCACTGCACAAATGTGGGAGCTACTGCAGGTGCCTTCATTTCCACTCCGTCCACCGCGAGCGAGCGAAGGAGTTTATTTCAGGAAGGACCTGGGCCAAGGAGGCGTGCCTGAGCCTTTTTTTTTGTTGGGTGGAGTTATAGAAACACCGGGCTCACTGTGAGTTAAACTTAATCCCAGGTCGCAGCCCCTCTTTCTGGGGTAAGGGGCGGTGGCGTCACTGCAGGGATGGTAGTCCCCTCAGGCCACGATCAGGAATCCTTCCAGGAAGTGACCAGAGCTCCTCCGAGAGGAGAGACGAGGATGCGGGGGGTGTGGCGGCCGCGGGAGGACGAGCGTTCCAGAGGCTTCTGCCTGAAGGCTCTCGGGAATGCGGGAGCGTGCCCTTGAGCGGCTCTGCCGGGAGCCCGGCTCCGGCCGCCGGCGGCCGGCTGTGACCGCACCGGGGTCCCGCGCGCTCCTTCCGCGCGCTGCC